GGGAAGGAGAGCTCGTCAACGGGCGAGCTGAATACACCACGCTGACGTCATCGGCGCCATTTATGTGACAGCGGAGGGTCGGATAACCCTCACCGCTTTGTTGTGTAATCGGGGTCAATGACCGCCGGCACCACGTGCTTCGCTTCCGCCGTGACGCACCGCATTATCATGGGGCGCATGGGCTGGCAACCGGGCGGCCTGTCACCTTGTCACAGGCAGGCGCCCCGGACCAGAGACGGCCCCCATGCTGACCCCGCCGGCCCTGGTCCCGGGCGCCAGGCCTGAGCGGCTGGGCGGGCCGGAGCTGGGAGTCGCCGCATGTGCCAAGCGCGCCACAGAGGTGCGGCTATTTCAAAACAGCCGGCAACGGCAGACATGACGAATGGCCGCGAACATAATATCACCCAATGCTCGTGGTTTCAGTCTGAACCGGTCTTTACAGATTGCACCTTTCGCCCGAGACCTCTTTGAAGGGCGCTGGGGTGGGGGCTAGGCAGGGAGTTGGTCGTTCGTAAAAGCGAGGGGATGCGGCTGCAACACCACCCGTCGTAAGCAGAAACTTGAGGCCGCTGGTGCTGGTGCGTCTCTTAGCGCAGCAGCCTGCATCAGCGGCCTACTGCTGGCTGCAGCAGAACAGTCCACAACAGCAAGCTGCTGCGGTGCCTCAGCCCACATCTGCAGGCTGCTGCGGCACCACAGTCCACATCAGCAGGCTGCTGCGGCGCCTCAGTCCACAACAGCAAGCTGCTACGGCGCCTCAGTCCACATCAGCGGGCTGCTGCGGCACCCCAGTCCACATCGGCGAGCATCCGTCATTATCGCCATCAGTTCGCATCGCGTTTCGGCGGCGCCGCCCGCGCGCCCGCCCGCATCTGCATTGCAAACGGGATCCCTGGTGGCGGCGCTGCAGCGGCGGCGGCCGGCGGCGGCACCTCAGCCGAGGCGCGCCGGCCGCGGCCGCTGCAGGCGGCGGCGCGTGACCGCCGGCGCCCGGACCCGTGCAGCGTGCCGCGCGGGCCGCGGCTCCACCCCGGCGCTGCACCTGCCCGCCGCGCCGCCCTGCTTATCATAGCATTAGCATAGCGCCGGCGCCGCCGCTCGATGCGGGTCGCCCCCGCGCGGGAGCGTCGCACCGCCGGCTGGGAGACGCCGCGGGGGTCGGCGGCCGAGACAGGGCCGAGATATGGACGGCTGGACGGGTCAGCGGGGACGGAGTCGCCCCGCTGCTGACGCGGAGACGGTCCGGGAACATTCCGGCCGGCTTTGGCGGGATTACGATGGGAAGAAAAAGACTGCGCGGCTGTGGGGTTTCGTGCGGCGATGCTCGTACGGGCTCACCACCGCATATGCACGGGGTTATGAGCAAAACCGGCGCCTTGGCCGGATCATTGCCGGGCTTGGCGAAGCCGGCCACGGCCAGGGTGCCGTGACAGGCATGAAGCCGTGCCCCGTGACGGCCAGGCCGTAACTGTCCGCGGCGTGACGTGATGTGATCACGTGACTGGCGGCCCCCGGCCCATCCCGAGGCGGCGGACAGCAGGGCGGACGGACTCGATGGAGACGAACTCGCGGGGATTAACTGCGACGCGTCGGCCACGACAGCGGTCCTTTATTTTTGACCGAAAATTACGAAACGCCCGCATGCCACCGGCTTCGCTTCGGCACGCCACATTGAATGGTTTATCTCGATCCATCCAGCCTGCCAAGACGGTCCAGCGTTACCCTTCACCGACCTTGGACTTCGGAAGCAGCGCCATTGCCTTGCGCCCCATGAGTTTTGCCTGACCTCGAACTTTCAACCCAGCATCCGGGATCTGTCGCTGCTGGTATCGCCCACTCGCCGCCGCGCCGACCTGGGTAAGCCAGAGCTTAAGGCATGCCGGGCTTCGTTCATCTGCATATGGAGTATTTCTGCAGCGGATGTTGGAGCGTGGGCCCCATTTGGCGGAAGCTCGTGGCACGACGAGCAGCAGCCAAAAGGACCAGTTCGCTGGGGAGTCGGTCGCCACAAGGCTGTGAAAGCAGGCATCGATGCTGGGGGACAAGAGTCCACCGCCTTTTGCGGGAAGCTGAGTTCAGCATGATATTCGGAACAGTGAACTGGCTGGGAGCTCCAAAGCTAAACCGATAGATTCTGGCGAGTCGATCGACAACAGCGCGACGCCTGTGGTGAATCCTTCCTCCGCAACGCACACCGTCAGTCGGCATAAGGAGACTATACCAGCACTCCCAGTGGCAGTCACCAAAGCGTTTCAGCTCCCTCGGTCGCCAGTGACACTATCAAACGTGTGCATCTGGTTTGACGCCTCGCGTTGCGGCGATGCCACGACAAGGCTCAGCCGAGACGAGGGGGGGGGGGCTTGCCCCACCGGTCCGGCCGGCTCTGCGACCGTGTTTTTATCGGTCACGTGATCGGACCGGCTGGACCGGTCTCGGCGACGCAGCGACATCACGCCGCACCGGACCGGGCTGGAGCGAACCGGCGGGCCGATCCCGCCGGCCGGGACGAGCCGGCCGACCCTGCAGGACCGCGCGCGGTGTAACCGGCCGGACAGGCGGATGGGAAGCCCGGGCCGCCTGCCGGACCGGCCAGCCCCTGCCCCGGCGGTCCGCCCGCACCCAGCCCTCGAGCGAGCGGCGCCACGACTCCTCTGCCCGGCTCGTCACCGCCCCGGCCGCCTGATCAGGGGGCATCGAGCGGACTGAGGCGAGGCGGACAGCCGTCGACCGGCGGCAATTCCGTCGCGCTCGCGACGCACGACTCCGTGTCAGGTGCACTCAAGAGCCGAATGATCGCTGGCTGGGGCGCTTGATGAAGTCCCTTTGAGGCGGATGGTCAGTGAGAACCACGGGAGCCGTGGTTCTCGCGTTCTCCGTCCTCAGCAACAGAGATTGGCCCGCCCGTCAGGCGGGGGTACGTTGACGCATCGCGCGTCAAAAGGGCTGTAACGTGAGCGAAACACCGCAACTCCGCTGCGGATGGGTCAGTCCGATGGTGATCATCAGAGCCCTCATTGTTTGGTTGTCCAGCCTGTATGCGCTTCTGAAAAGACCGGACTCGACTGCCGAAAGCGTAGCCTACAAAACTGCAAATGCGACCAAAGTTTGTGAATAAATGCGTACGTGATGCACTCGGAAACGTTTCTTGAACGTGCTGACAGGAGTGGGTAGTAGACCCGATGCCAGCCACGTGCTGACGTGTGAGACATCAACAGGTGTAACGGTAAATGAGACGGCATACAAGCATCTGTTCTTTAACAGGACGGCAAGGGAGCGAGCCCCAGCTTATGGCGCAATTTAACATAACGTCCACAACATTCTAGGTAAACAAGGGCATGGAAAACATCGATGGTTCCAACTTTTTATCGGCGGCGGAGCAGGTGTTCCCATTTGCTGAGTTCCTCACCGAACTATACGACGCATTCGTTCGGTGTGCGTTAGCATGACGTAATGCGCGTGCCGTACACATATGGGC